GCGAACAAGTTAATCTTACGTCAAATGACAGCTTTGACCAGCTTATATTCCATGAAACTAGTTAGATCATTGAAGCTAATTCTAAAGCTATTAGATTATGACAGTTTCTGCCTAGAAAATCTTAAATTCTGCAGAAAACGTCCTGAAAATAGCTTGAATTCACAAAAAAAAATTCAGGCAAAAGAGAAAAGCGTTAAGGGCTTGCTTTAGCAGACAACTCTGCATTAGAATCTAATCAATCACAACGAGTGCGCAAGAAATTAGGTTACCCTGAGCTACTATCGACAAAACCAAAAGAATTGAAAATGTTGCAATCAGCTGATTTTTTTTCCTTAAACTTGATACAAACCAGGATAAATTGTTCAACGTAAGACAATGTTTCAAGTTTATAAAATATATTCTAATATTGTCTTAGTACAACGAGTTTGTTCTTCGTAACATTTTGACGGAAAAAAATGGTTTAACTACTTTCTTACCCTGTGAATCAAGATTTGTATGCGAGCAAAGTTTCATCCCGCAACCACAAACTCTCACACATGAGATTAGATTTTCTCCCCCAATCAAAAGCGTTCGCACATTGGCTTTGGAGCAGAACTCTTGAAAATCTCGCAATTCTTTCTAAGAGGGATAGAGCGCAGCCGAAGAAGAAAGACATCAACTTTAGAGCTTTGAGTGCTGAAAAGATTGCACCTTTCTTTCTACATAATTGCTCTTTAGAGATAGTTTTTAAACGAGGTTGCTTTGATTGCGTAAAATACATCCAATATGGCTTAAAGCACTGAAGAAAAATTTGTCTTTGTTAGACGCCGTACATCTTGTGGAAAAACTCATAACTTGTTCTTTTTTTCCTGCCAAAAATTTCTTGAACGATTTGTCATTGAGTGAAAAAATGACAGATGACTACATGCTCAAACCAAATCAAAAATTACCTCAAAACTGCACATTGAACTGCTGTTTTACCTCAAAGTTGGTTTTTGACTAAGTAAAAATTTTTGAACATTGTACAACTTTATAAATTGTGCACGAATTTAACCGAAGAAAAACGTCTGAAACTTATACTAACGTTTCAGACGACAAAATTTGATCATTTGAAGCTAATCCTCTAAGACATCATTGTGAAAGTTGTGATTATAAACATATATTTGTCGTATTGTCCAAGTCTTTGAAGTTAGTTGAAATCATTTCAATTTGCTTAAAGTAATGAACGAGGATGCAAGTCACTCAA